GTTGGATCAGTTGTCGTGGCGAACGTTAGCACACGAGCTTAAGGCATTACATAATTAACCTCTTGCCTTTTATCCAGTTGCATTGTTTGTTTGTCGTTCAAAATTATTATAGTGCAAACTGCACGGCGATTTCTAGTACATCTTTGCATGTCAACGATTATACTAGACTTTTGTATACCCGCCATTTTTGCATGTTGGGAATTCGCCGTGCATTTTGCACGGCGATTTGTATAGAAACCGCCAGATTTGCACGGCGTTTTCTCTAGAAGTAGGTATTCACACCAATAACTACATGGAAATAGTTCTGAAAACAGAGGCGTTAACACGAAACTGCTAAATATAAAAACGACGAATTTATTATCAGTGAGAAAAAAATATCAATTAGCCTCGAGAAAGCGCTCGGATACTGAAAAAACGACACTTAAACTATGATAGTTCGTTTAGAGCTTAATATGCAAGAGTTGGAGAGAAGGAAGTGCATCCTCAAAAAAGATTTTTTTTTGGGGGGGGGGGGGGTAATGACATTGGTTAGGCTGTTCAGCCAGCCAGCTAATGCTGTCTTCCCTGTACAAGTGCTTCTACTATCAAACTGGCCACAGCTCGCTTCTTGTTGTCAGGGCCAGCATTCCAGCGATGGGCTACGCAGTCAGTACACGCACGTTCCCGACTCGGGGATCCCGCTTCCGTTGACGGACGCAGTGCAGTTGCCCCAAACGGCGGAGCGCAATCGTTTCATGTGTCGCAGCTACATCTTGGTTTTTCTATGCAATTTTTTCACTTGATGATTGTGGCCACAGCAAAATGTCAGCGACACTGACGGACTGTCGGAAACTGAAGCAACCTGCAGCCCCTCATTAACTGCGCTTTCGATCTGTGCACCCCATGACCATCGCTGAGCACGCCAGCATGCGCGTCGAGGACACGTCGGCACCCGTAGGCTTCTGGGGCCCGCCCACCTCGACTATCGACTGGTGCGAGCTCAATTATGAGCACAGTTACTACATCGCCGAGTTCTGGAACACCATCAGCAACTCGCTGTTCGTGTTGCTTGGACTCTACGGCCTTTATCGCAGCGTCAAGATGGGCTTCGAGCCGCGCTTCCATCTACAGTTCATCGGCGTTATGGCGACAGGCTTTGGGTCTGCCATGTTTCACGGCACGCTGCAGCACGTGTACCAGCAGTGTGACGAGACGCCCATGGTTTGGACCATTCTCGTGTGGATCTACATCGTGTACAACAACGAGATCGAGCAGATCCCCATCAAGAATGCCAGTAATTACGTCATAGCCTTCCTGACGATAACCGGCGCTGTATTCACCGTGATCCACGCCATCTACCGCTTCACGACTGTCTTCCAAGTTTTCTTCGGCATCCTGGCTGTGTCGGCGTGCGTGCGTCTGTGCATGCACTACGCTGAGGTGAAGGACCCTCGCGCACGAGCTGTAGCGTGGTCTTACGTGACGTCAGGGCTCATTGGCTTCGCATTCTGGATGCTGGACTACCACTACTGCCACACGCTCCGCGGACTGCCAGTAAATCCTCAGGGTCATGCGTGGTATGTTGCTTATACTATCATGTTGTGCCGTGTGCCTCACTAACTCGCCGTTGGTATTTTATTCTGACAGGTGGCACATATTCATGGGCGTTTCCTCTTATCACGGCCCGATCTTCATGCAGTACGTTCGCATGGAGCAGCTCAAGAAGAAGGTTTATATTCAAGACACTGGTCTCGGCATCCAGACCATCGTCGTCGACCCAGTGAGCCCCAAGAAGCCCAAGCAGTTGTAAATACTCCACTGTGACACGTGCTTGACTTAGTTTTCCTATTAAATCGCCATCACTATTTGCGTAAAAATCTTAGTTGGAGTTTTATGAGTCGCTTGAAGGTTTTCGTCGGATGTCGCTGACGTTTCTGGCAACTTCTTCAGACTTACCTTGAAAGAAGTAAGTAGCGGGGTGCATAATCATTTCAAGATCAGAGAAAAACTACGAGCACTTCTTCGAGGGGACATCGGGTTGAAGATGAAAATCTTCACTGTCGTAACGAACGCGATGGTCATTCTCGTTTTCGCAGCGTCACTGAGAAGTCGATCGATATGACCGCAACCAGCTTGCGCTCGTCCGCGTCTGTGGGTTTCTGGGGCCCACCTACGTCCACCATCGACTGGTGCGAGAACAACTACGAGTACAGCTACTACATCGCTGAGTTTTGGAACACCATCAGCAACTCGCTGTTCGTACTTCTTGGGCTTTACGGCCTCTATCGCAGCATTAAGATGGGTTTTGAGCCTCGTTTTCACTTGCAATTTATCGGCGTAATGGTCACTGGCTTTGGGTCTGCCATGTTCCACGGCACCCTACAGCACGTATACCAACAGTGCGACGAGACGCCCATGGTCTGGTCCATTTTGGCGTGGATTTACATTGTGTACAACAACGAGATCGAACAAATCCCCGTCAAGAACGCTAATAACTATGTGATCGCCTTCCTGACCACAATAGGCGCCATTTTTACGGTAGTACACGCCATCTATCGGTTCACCACAGTCTTTCAAGTGTTTTTCGGGATTTTGGCGGTGATGGGTGCTGGGCGGTTGTGTATGCACTACGCTGAGGTGAAAGATCCGAGAGCTCGTGCGGTGGCGAGGTCATACGTGACGTCAAGCCTCATTGGCTTCGCGTTCTGGCTCATGGATTATCACTACTGCCACATTGTCCGTGGATTGCCCGTGAACTCGCAAGGCCACGCCTTGTAAGATGTTTTTTTTTTTACGACTCCATGACGTGTATCCTGCTAACGCTCCTTGGTTGTCAATTTTTGCTGTAGGTGGCACATATTTATGGGCATATCGACGTACCATGGCCCGATCTTCATGCAGTATGTGCGAATGGAGCAGCTCAAGAAGAAAGTCCGCATTCACGACACGTGCATTGGCATTCAGACTATTGTCGTGGACAATAACGGACCGGGCAGCCCTAAGAAGCCTAAGCAACTTTAACCGCCACACGACAACGATATGTTTGCCATGAATTTATCTCGAAACAAGCAAATGAATTACGACGAGCTCGAGGTGATACATGCAGTTTGTTGCATGCACATTCTCTCAAATATGATATTCATAAATTATGAAATATCCAATTATCAAATTAAACATTTCGTCAATGGAGTCTGTATCAGCCTTGCTTCAGCTCGTGCGTGACGCCGCTAGCGGCGCCCAGAGCTCCAACCTGCGCGAGAGAGATCTTCTTGCTAGCTTAGAGAGCGTCAGGAAGCAGCTTCAACGCTCTACAATGCCCCCGGAGTCCAATGCAATCGCAATATGTCACGTAACAGCTCAAGTGTCGGCTTTCCTGATCCAATATCGACCTCTTGCAGCTCAAAACGCGAGTTCCAAGTGGCACAAGCGCGTGTTTCTCCTCGAGGCCGCAGTGGCAAGTGCATTCACCAGCTTTACAAACGCTGAGGAGCTGAAAAATGAAGATAGAGGAGACTTGTGCAACATGATGAAATGGTTATACCAAAGGCTCTGGGGGATGGCGCAGACGCCACAACAGGCTGCCAAAGTCGTTACCGTCATGACAAAATTGTGTGTTCTACTGGCAATTTGCTGGTTGTCCTATGACCGTATTGGGAGGCTGATAAAAGTAGAGAATCTGCTCACAATATGTAGCAATTTCTGCTCGGATTATGAGTCAACCAAGCCGTTAGCCAAGTGGCCGCTGTTTCTACTTGGAATGGTGGAAATGACCGAGAATCAGGACTATATCGGGGCTTTAGAGTGTCTTCGGAGTGCTGTGGAAATATGTGATGGCTCGGAGCTAGATGGAGTGCTCTTCTACTGGTATGCAGTAGCTTTGATCCACAGTGGACACTCAGGCGATGCGGTTATGGCACTGGATAAGTGCATTCGGGCCAATTACGAACCTACTGCTTGTCTATCGCTTCAGGCTCTCGTGAACTTGCAAGCGACGGATTACCATGCTGCTTCAGAGCAGCTTCAACGCGCACTGGGCATCAACTTCGAAGATCCAAAGTCGATGTTTAACTACGGACTGTTGATGGAACAAATGGATAACTTTGAGGCACAGCAGCAACTACTCGAGTATGTTTTGGAGTTTTATGGAGCTGGAAGTGCAGATTCAACAGCTAAGCAGCTCGGAGATGCTGATCAAACAAAGACAACCGCTCTTTTTGACGAAAGGAGTTTGGCATCTTTACTTCCGTCACGACAGACAAGTTTGGACCTATCGAGAGTGCATCTTCACTTGGCTATGGCTGCTATGGAAAATGGTACGCGATCTACTGTTTTAACACTTTGTAAGAAGGAATAAACTGACGTATTGTGCTCGGATGAAGGCGATTGGGTGGAGTCAAAGAAGCATTTTGAAGAATTTCTTGGTGTTGAACATCAATGCGCTATCACTACCACAGTCTTAGAGGCTGCACGCGACTATGTCTACGTGCTGCTCCAGGTACGCGCTTCTAGATTCTTTTATTGAAAGTCTCTACGAGACTAACTGACTTGTGTACTGCGTATTCAGTGCAAGCTCCCGTCCTTGGCATTACGTAAATGTGAGCAAAATTTGCAGAATGCGGTTACCGATACCGTGAATGAAGACGATATGATATCACTGCTGCTACTTCATTTATACAAAGCTGACGCGTTACTGTGCTTGGAACGCGTTGATGAATGCTGCGAATATCTCCAGCAGATCGTCCAGCCCAAAATTCAAGAAATCATGTCACGAGAACAAGCTACTACTGCTATTTCAGAAGAGGTTGTATCGTGCCACACACAGCTTCTCAACAACTTGGCTGTTGTTGTCGCTTGCTGCTCCGGCGTCGATCCCGCTATCTCGATCTTACGTGAAGGACTGCAGCAGTATCCCGACTGCCTCGCCTTGAAATTCAATCTCGTTTTGCTGCTCTGGAGGAAGGACGATAAACCGGCTGCGTGTACTATGTGGGTGAAAGCTCGAGGTTGGGATCTCCAAGCAAAGATCAATGGGGCAGATGTAGGCACTACGTACCAGAATGCTGCGCTATCTGCTAGCACATCTCAAATGCCATCCATTTCGGAGCATGTGCAAGGCGACCTTGATGGGGAAGACGGTATATCTGCGCAGCAACTTGTGTATCTGGATGCGTTGATTCTAAATTATTGGCGCAAAACGCGGGAATCCCAGCTTGTCGACTATTCTCTGCAATACATCGAGTACCTTGAGAGTCTTGGCACCACAGATATCCCTCAGAATAATTGAAAGAGGTTTCACGAACATTATTTTGGTGCTGGACTCGACACCCTCCAAGGTAAAAAGACAGCTCAAGAATGGGCAAAGGCTCGCGTTTAACTCGCCGTAGCAAGGACAAGAGCACTGCCAATGGGCCCCTTACACCACTCACTCCTGAGCAGAAATGGTGGAAAGTTATGAACCGACTAGCTCAGATCCAGCTGGGTTGCAGTCTTTTGATGCAGCTTTCCTACGTCGCATTTCCGGCCTACAATTTCTCGCTGGCGCTGTGGTGTCTGCTGGCGTGTACTCCGTCGTGGAGTGCAAAGCACACTCGTCTTGTCCCGCTGCATATGATCGCTATCAGCTTCTCCGTGTTGACAGATATTATCTGGATGAGTTTGTGGGTGTCTGGACGGGTGTTCTTCGATCAGTTCTGCAACGCCAACGCCGTCTCGATCGTCAGTTGTGGTGGCGCTTCCGATCATTTTCCAGGTTGCAGTACCAACCAGTTTACACTGTTCACGCTCATTCTCAACCTTCTGGCTAAGGTCGCGTCCATCGTAAGCTTGCAGCGTATTCATGCTATTAAAGTTGCCAACCGAGCCAAGCACCGCAGCCATGTTGCTTCTGACACAACTAGTGATGCACCAAGTATTCCTTCAAGCATCGAAGTTAAGCCACTACCAGAAAGCAAAGATGTTGCCGAAGATACAGCATCAAAGTAATAATACTGATTCATACAATAGAAATATTACTCATTGTCAGAATCCTCCCACCCTGTGTCCTCTTCTTCTTCTACTTCTTGTGCTCGTGCAGATGGGAGATCAGTGCCGTCCGAAGTGATATCCTCTGGAATTTCTGTGTGGATATTTACAGAGGAATCCGTCGTATCTGTTGGTTGTGATTGTATTCCTTCATCTTGTGCTGGAGATTTAATCGAGGAAGCTTTAAATCGCTGTTTAGTTTCTGATGCTGAATGAGGTGAAGCGAATGGATCGACCATTCGATCGTCGGGGAGGAGCGACACCAAGCCATGATCATTGCACACTACCACGAACGCCTCCATTGAGAGCGCGAAAGATTGGTCAGCTCCACCCATTAAAGACTCGCGGAACATCCGCAAAATCCGTCGGTCGCTGAAATGGGGTTTTCGCTTTCGGATAATAGCACAAAACTCGTCCAGAGACAACACGCAGTCGTGATTCACGTCACCCGAATCGAAGAGTTCAGTCAGGTCCTTCTTGATTCCTTCATGACGCTGTTCGAGCGCGTCCATCAGTAATTTAAGCACTTTATGGACATCTGCAACAATTCGCGGTTCTTGTCGCTTTCCTCCTCCATTACTCTGTGTCGTCGAAGCGGACAATTCTGGATTTTCGCTGGCCAACATTACTCGTCTCATCTCGGCACGAACTGCCAGTCTATTGCCAGCGACCTCCGTGAGCGTGTGTCCATCATAAATTGCTGTGCTGTGCTCAACCTGCCGACAGTAATATGAAATGCTGTCCTCTGGTAGACAACTACTATACCATCTTAACACTGTAATGGCATGGTCGAGCGGCACCCACTTTTTCGTCGGTTCTACCTGGACAACATGCTCGACAACCTTCACCTTTTGATCAGGGTTACTCGATCCTGTTTCACGCTTTTTCTTGCCTTTTTGCGGAACCCGAGGAGGTGGGCGCAACAGATAGTGTCGAGCCTCCAAGAAAACATGAAGGAAGCTGCGGTCCAGATATCCAGAATGTTTAGAATGCTTGAGATCGGAGTCACTTGTATGCTCTGACTTGGAAGACTTGGTTGATTTCTTCTTTTCTGTTGGATTCGTTGTTGATTCCACATCTTCTGGATCCTCGTCTTGGCTCTTTAGTAAGTTTGACAAGCGCGCAAATAGGTGAACATGCGAGTTGCGCTGGTATGTGTTCTTGACCGAGACTAAAAACCGATACAATCCAATCTCAGCGCTCTGTCGTAGGCCATGTGTCTTCAAAAAGTACTCGCAGATAAAACGAGGCTGTTTAGCATAATTGTTAGCATCGATCCTGCTAAAACAAAATATTCAGATGTCAGCGTACCAGTTCTTCTCGTGCTACGCCATCAGCTTCGTCCGTTCGGTCAGATGCGAATTTATCGTCGTAGATGGCCTCGATTTGTGAAATCACACGCTCAATAGAGTAGAATGGGAAAGCTACTACCGATTTGGGCAAATTCGAGAGAAATAGCACAGTATGACTCGGTAGTTCCCTAGAGGACGAAAACGATTAGTATTCCAAAACAGGCAGCAGTATAATATTTACAGAATACTAACCATAGCTGTTCGATACGCTCAAGTCGACTTGCAGTCTTCTTGGTACGCTTCTTACCCTTGGCAACTGACCAAATATCAATTTCCTGTTACACTATAGCCGTTAGACACACATATTCTTTTATATTTTTGCGAGGTCCACTATTTCCCATTACCTCGCTGTCGTCGTCTTGTGGATTTCTTCCAAATGGGTTCGTCTTTGCCGTTTTCGGTAGTGGCCGACCACCACAATTCTTGCAGGCGACAAAAGCATTAAATCGTCGCCACATCATCTTGTGTACCGTGTTTTTCGACACGAATCGAGGAATACCATCCTATCCTTATCAAACAGAGTCAATGAGTAGACATCACCAAAGATGTATCCAACACTTTACCTGAACATCCCACAGGCCATCGTCGTCCACTTCTGTTTGTGACGAATGGGATTCATAGGTAACAGGAGCTACCGACACGATTTCCTCTAGTTGTCGAAGCGTAACCTCCTGTTTGCTGATAAACTTTTCCTTCTCTTGAACCGTACGCCTATTAGCAAAAACAGGTCCAGAATTACAAGATAGTCATACCACTTCCACAAACTTGCTCACGCACCTGAGGTCCTGAATAAGCTGTTTATGCTGGGTTTGCATCTGCATCAAACAAATTCAGTCAGTGAAATAGCTCACAACCATCCTAACTGAATTCTACCTCCTCTCTCAACTGTTTTTGGTATTCGACCATTTCTTCATGTGTTTTCTGCTCAATAAAATAAATGATCGTCAGTCAATCCCTAGCTATAACCCTGATATTAACAGAAGCTGTTCACCGTCAGTTGATTGAAATCATCTCGAAGTTTACGCTCCAATACTCTTTGCAACGCCGCTTCATTCTGTAGCTGAAAGATCTGGGTTTCCAGCTCGCGTTGATTTCCCAGCTCTTTCTCGATCTGTCTCGTTTGGCCTTGATAATTCTGCAGCTCAATTTCCCGTGTGCGGTGAATAATTTCTCGAGCTGCCAGTTTTTTGCTGAGCTTTACATGCTCAACACACTTCCGTTCGTATTTTTCTCGCCACCGCATGATGTTTTCCTGATCTTCTTTTCGTTGTGCTTCGGTTCGCTGTTCGTATTCCCAGTACAGCCTCAATGAGAGTTCCAACAGCTTCTCAAAGAGCTTCAGATAGCTCTCTTCAATGCGAAATAGCGTATGTCCTAGCTCTTTGCGATGGCCCATAGTAGTTTGTGCCACATCCTTAAACTGTGCGGATAACACACGCACGGAATCTATAGCACGTAAAATTTCGGGGTCGCGCTGTATTCGCTCGAGTTCACGCTTTTGAGCCTCCAGGTCACCTTGCAACAGTGTACGCGGCAGATATCGACCTGTAACGCGGTGACATAGCGCGCTAGCGTACGTAAACAGCTCGGTATTCTCCGCTTGCTCTAATCTTTCCGCATAACTCTCAAGTGACTGGGAAGAAGATGCTGGGAACGGTAATTCTTTCTTAATCGCTTTAGGCGCCGCAGGAGGCACCAATTGAGCACCACTAGTCAAATTCCTGCTCGGTCTTGGAACAGATAGCGGTCCTAAAGTTGTTGGAGAAGTTGGTAACGATGGCTCCTTTTTTGGTAGAATATCCGTAATAGCGAATTGAATTGGACGTTTGGAAACCTGCTGCTGCTCATACGTCAATAATGCGTCCGCTGATATACTGGCAGTAAGCGCTTGTCTCTTCTTCATCATATTCTGCTTGCCATCGCTCTTCGGTATCCCTTGTTTCGGGGAGCTCAGCATTGCTTGTGAAATTTAGGCGACTCTTCAACTTTCCTTTTAATAAAATTTTTTTGAAAAGTAATATTCAACCCCAAAAATAGTTCATTCTAAATGTTTAAATTTAGAATGAGCCCTTTTGAAATTCAAATGTGGTCCACACTCCCGCTAATTTAAAACTGCTCCAGTATCTATTTGCAGGTGTCGGAGTATGGGGCGCGTCCTGCCGGTCCTGCTGCTCCTGGCGCTGCCCTGTGCGGTCGCCGTGCTGCCTACGGGCATCCTGTCGCTGGATCTGCTTCCTCAGTCCCCCAATGAGCCTCCAGCCTTCGCAGAGCAGTTTTGTTCGCCCAGTGCCGCCGCCGGATGGGGCGTCTCACTACCTGCACGCTTCGATTCCCGCTGGAAGACACTGGTACAAGTACCGATATCGAATCGTGACGGCTGCGAGCCATACGAGCTTGAACCTGCTACGTCATTACACGGATCTATGGTGCTTGTAGACCGCGGCAACTGCTCGTTCGTCACTAAAGCGCTGAACGCTCAAGCTGCAGGAGCTAAAGGATTAATTATCAGAGGGACTAAGAGAGCTGTGTACGAGGCCATAGTTAGTCATAATAGCACAAACTCCAGTACGTTATCAGATAGCCACAATGCTGAGCCAACTACCAGTTTAGCGGTGATGGATAAGCCAGTATTCGAGTACGACTGCAGTAAAGGGGAGGCCTTTGTGGATAAACTAGCGACGCCCGAGTGGACTACAGACGCTGAGCAATGCAGTGGAGACCATGGATGCTCGTTCAAGTCGTGTGTGCTCACAGGCCACACGAAAATGCAGGAGAGTGGCAAGAAATATCAGGTATGCTGTATGTGGGACACATTCGTGCTCATGGGCGTCACCAACCGGACGGTGGCGAAAGAGCTAGAGATCCCCGTGGTGTACGTGACCATAGCCAACGGACACAAGCTGCAAAAAGCCATTGACAAACACTCAACTTCGTTGGTGGCACGTACGTATCGACGGGAGCTGCCATTCATCGACGTATCGTCGGTACTGTTGTGGGCGCTGGGTGTCGCTACTGCTCTTGGGGCGACGTACTACTCGGCCAGTCCATTGAGACGCCAGGACAGTACATTTTATGAGCCGAAGCAACGTGGTGAGGATCTACACGAGGAGAGTAGTCGTGATGATGTCTGGGAGCTGGATGCTAGACACGCTGTGGGTTTTATTGCGCTGGCTGGCGTTTTCTTGACGGTGTTCTACTACGTCAAACTAGGCGGTGTAATTCCAGTGCTCTTCGCTGTATCTGGTGCTGCTACACTGGCTCAAGTAGTGGGAACGCCTGGTATGGAGAGGTTGATGCCGAGTTCGGCGTCTCGTGAGGTCACAATCCCGTTGTTAGGCGATACTGCACGGTTGTCTGAGGTGCTTGGGCTCCTGTTTAGTATTTCGGTTGCGGTTGTGTGGTATCTACACAGACGCACGTACTGGGTACTGCAAGATATTATGGGGATTTCGCTCTGCTTCGTGTTCCTACGGACTGTGCAGCTACCAAATCTCAAGGTGGCTACGATTCTGCTTACTCTGGCCTTCTGTTACGACGTCTTCTTCGTGTTCTTGTCGCCAATCTTCTTCGGTTCCAGCGTCATGGAAGATGTGGCAACTGGTGGGCCTGCAGCGTACACTAAGACTGGCTATCCAGGTGTGGACTACTGCGAACGATACCCGAAATATCCGGCATGTATTGACCCAGAACCGATGCCGATGCTGCTTGTGTTGCCACGTATAATGGACTGGGCCGGTGGGGCCAGCATGCTCGGGCTTGGTGACATTATTCTGCCCGGTATGCTCCTCTCCTTCACGCTACGTTTCGACTACGCCCATGGCTCCACGAACTACTTCCGTCTTATGGCGATTGGCTATGCCGTGGGTCTAGCACTCGCAAACTTAGCGGTCATGATCACGGATATGGGTCAACCGGCGCTCATGTACCTCGTTCCAACCACTTTGGGCTCGCTTGTCATCGTGTCGAAGCGAAACGGAGACTTCCGAGCCATGTGGATTGGTGCAGGAGTCGATGAAGAAGACGTGAAGAGAAGGAGCAGTGACGGACCGGGATATAATGCTGTTGAGTCGGAGGAACCGCCCACAGGAATCACTATCGATCCGCTAGGAAGAGGAAACGACAATTCAAGAGGAGGAGATCACGTACCGCTATTGAGCTCATCAAGCTCTTAGACCCCCGGTCTTTACCTGCTATTTGATAATTCATGCACATCTATGATTTTTTGTAGTTCTTGTTAGGATCTATTATTCTTATAATCTGCAAAGCGTCGCAAGGGCAAGAAAATGGTGTCGGTGCATTTAGTTGGCGAGCTGTTGGGAGCCTCGGGTCTCTCCGGTCTTGACGAAGAGTTCTCTGTCTCTCATGTGCTTGACATGCTTTCGTTGCATCCTTCGTCTGAGTTGAATTACTTCTGCAAGTGGCGAGTCGTTGTTGATGATCAATCAAAGTCAAGCGATGAAGCTTGGAAAGTCGTTCAAGGAGAGACACGAGGTCAAACTCAAGTGCATGCGGCCTCGAGTGGGGGAAGTCTTGCCATGCCTGATCTTTATCGTCAGAACCGGGATAATATTTTACTTCCGAAGATTGGTACTGTGTGGGCACATCCGATCGATCTGCACCTCGCTATAGCGAACATGGAAGCATGGAATTGCTGGCCACGACTCGAGTTCCAGGTATCATGAAACACAGCGCCTCGATTTTAAGAAGACCACAACTTAACCGTAGTTTGTTTCACTAGGTATGGAGCGTTGACGCCTTCCATCTCGAGTCATTATGTAGGTATTTGAAATCCTTGTAGCTTTTGTGCTTCGTCGTTAAGAGGTTTTCGTTAAATATTCAACAGGTGGAACGGCGAGTTTCTCGGTGCCTATGGCCACAAACGAGTACGTGCTCGACGTGCCTCTGGTACTGTCCGAGCCTCAAACAATACTGGGGTCTCTAGCACGAGCAGTGGGTCTACCGCTCCAAGAACAGGAAAACAAAGCTCGAAGTGCTCACTGTGACGAAGTTATACGAAGCACTGGCACGCTGTATTTGCGTCTTGCTGTACTAAGTCGTGGATTGAATACGACTACAAACTAAAATGGAGAAATACGTATTCATTTACCATGATTGCTGTGGTTACAGCAAACTACAAACCGTTCAGGCGCGCACGCGAAGAAAATATAAAGATGCAAGCCACCTACAGCACATCGACCTTGGTAGCATGACTTATTGCTTCAAGCAGTCGTTGTCGACCCAGTGAACGGCGTTTTGGAAGTACGGGGGCTGCTCGTACACTCCGTAGTATCCAAACTGCACATACAAAAAGCAAGCTTTCGTCAGAAACACAGTTCAAAACTGTAGACAAACTAGCGTTAGTACATACCTTATTCGCCGCCTGAAGGATGCAGTCTTGAAGCTGTTTCTGCTGGTCCATAAGCTTGTCACTCTCGGACTCCTCGTCATTCGCCTGCTGTTTCAGGGCCATGATCTTCTCCGAAAAGTGCGTTCCGATCTGTAACTGGAACTCGTCCTTTGACATGAAGTCCTTGTCGCCATTGTCAATATCGTTTCCTCCAAGTTGGTTCAGGATATCTGTCGTGGTGTGGCCACCTCCCTCCTGGGTCGGCGTCGATGGAACTGACACTGTCGTTGTTGAGCCTTCACCCGTCGGGATCTCCAGCTCAGTCTTGCCGTCCGTAGTCTTGGTCACATCCACTGTGGTGGTCGTAGTTCCACCGTCAGGGGTAGTGATCGTCACGACCTGCTTGTCATCAATGACCGGGCCCGTGATCGTCACGGTTGCGGGGCCCTGTGGGGTGTCGACAACCACCTCAGGTGCTGGAGCCGGATTACTCGACTGGGGTACAGGCCCGGAGCCACCAGTGCTTCCGGCATTAGCAGGTTGCGGAACGGGGAGAGTCACAATCATGCTTTGTCCTTCGGGTCCAGTAGGAATCTCCAGCGCGTTCTTATCATCCGAAGTCGGCATTACTTCAACCGTTGTGGTGGTGGTTTTGCCATCGGGAGTTATGATCGTCACTTCCTGCTTGCCGTCGAAAACTGCGCTGTCCGTCGTCACTGTAACTGGGCCGGTGGGTGTCATTACGCTGACCTGCTGGTGATCCGCCTCTGTCGGGACGACACCCAGGCCAGTCCATTCCGGAACAAACACCATCGTCGTCTGGTCTCCAGGGCCTGTCGGAATCTCCACCGTCTTCTTGCCGTCAGCTCTATAGTTCACGAACAGGGTCAT